GCGCCTCCGACGACCGGTTGCCCCGGAGCCCGTAGCTCTAGCACCGGTCGTGGCGCAGCTTCTTGCCCAAGTGCTTGAGCCCCAATCGCTTGCGGACACCCCGGAGCGCTCACCGCCTCGCCACCATGCATCGGAGCCAGCGGCTCGTGCACGGGCGCGGGAGCAGCTGCTGGCGTCGGTAGCAAAGCGAGTCGATCGATGATCGCGAGCATGAGCTGTTGGGACTGCTCGGTGTTCTCGTTGGCCATAGCGCGCGCGGCCCGCAAGTTGTCCTCCGCGAGGACACGCGACTGCGCCGCGCTGGCTTCCAAGATGAGGCGCATCGACCGAGCGTTCTCGTCTGCCATATGGCGCATGAGCGCCGCCACATCCAGCTGGCTGGAACCGTGACGACGCGGCGAGACGACCGGCGACACAAGCGCGCCAGCTGTTTCGTCAACATCGACGAGCGGCGGCAAGTCCGAGTCGTCGACCGAGTCGCGCGCCAAAAGCGCCTTCTTCTTGAGCTCTGCCGGCGTCGGCGCACGCGGGACCGTGCGCAGCGTCGTCGACTGGAGCGGTTCGGCGAGCGTCCGCGGCTTGGGCGGCACGACGAGCTTCTCGGGGACCGGCGCCTTGGCCTTGGCCTTCTTCGAGGGAGGCGCGCCGTCGAGGTCGTCCGTGCGCGGCGTCTTCTTGGACGCAGTCGCCGCGGGCGTCTCAAAGCCGTTGTTCTTGTTCGTGTTCTTTTTCTTCGTCGTCTGCGCCGTCCGGATGGCGAGAGCAAGCTGTTTCACCTAGCGTGATGGCGCGTGAGGTGAGCTCATAACCTAAGAGAGGTCGTAGATGCTTGCAGAGGGTTGACCAGGCGAGTTCGTCAAAAGGCCGTACATGACACCTTTGCTGCCTTCTTCGGCGAGCTCGATGATGCAGACGTGCCAACGACAAAGTTGATGCCCAACGGCAGCTGCGTCGTGAGCAGGACGCCAAGGAAGAACCACTGACTGCAGAGCACGTCGTAGATGGTACAATAGACCACGACCGCATCAATCACATTTGCACCAATGGCCGTGAGCACGAGCACGTAGCGCCAGTTCCACTGGGTGCCATACTTGCCCGTGGCTGCGAGCACGCTCGCAAAGACGAGGCCACCCAAAATGCTCGTCAACGCCGTGTTGAGCGTCTCGACCTTGGTCCAGTAGAGTGCCACGTACGGCGCGGCGGTCGTGTTGATGTACGAGTTGCTGAGCGAGAAGAGGAAGATAAAGACCATGACCTGCCACACGACGCGCTTCAGTGATTTCGTGCTAGTGCAGCAATGATTTCGTCCATGCGTA